AAAATTTAAAGTTGAATAATTAGTTCTTAGAACTTTGTAAATTTATGCAATAGTTTGCAAAAGCTGAATTTAAAATACTAAATAGAATCATAGAAATCATTACAAAAAAAATTTAAAAATTTAATTCCATTTAGGGGGCCCCCTGGTGGTCACAGGGCCCTAAGCAGTCGCTTAGTTTGCTTATGCCTTGAGCCGGCCCTGCATCCACCCTTGGACCAGGGTTCCGACGGGTGGCCAGGAGACCGTCCCTTTATGATCAGTGGTGGCGTCCACCTGTACCCTCCTGGACTCTGACAGAAGAGGGATGAGACCCCCAAGGAGACCATGGTGACAGGCGAGGCAAAAACACACGGGGGTGTAGGTGTGGATCTGCGGTGGAAGTAGTCTCCAGCTACAAGTACTTGGGGGTACACCTGAATGACAGCCTGAGCTGGGGCAACAACACTACCAGCCTGATCAAGAAAGCTCATCAGAGACTCTACTTCCTCAGATGGCTGAGACGAGCTGGTCTGGGAAGCTCAGTCCTCACCTCCTACAGGTGTGCAGTGGAGAGCATCCTGTGCTCCAGCATCAACGTGTGGCATGGAGGCTGCACAGCTGCAGAAAGAAAAGCTTTGCAGAGAGTGGTGAAGGCTGCACAGAAGTCTGTTGGAGTCTGCCTCCCCACCATCACAGACATTTACACCTTTAGATGCAGGAAGAGGGCCACCTGCATCATGAAGGACCCCACTCACCCAGCACACACACTTTTTGCCCCACTCCCCTCAGGCAGGAGATTGAGGAGCATTAAGGGGCCGTTTACACGGCATGTATTTTGAGTGAATCCGCTCCTTTCTCTCTGCGGTTCTGCTGATTATTTACATGACAACAGTGTGTAATTCCACATGTGCTAAATAATAAGTTTAATAATAATAAACAACATTTATGTTAGTGAGATATATAATGAAGCTCTTTGAGCTAAATGAAGCTATCTGGACATTATGTAATTCAAATTATGTGATTAAAATGATGCAAAACATTGCATGTTATTAAAGTTGAAAATGAAGACATCAGGTTTAATTTTTATTTATTTATTCAACACCACAAACTGTATGTCACACAAACACTGATAATTAAACTGAACACACTATTAAAAACACGTTAACTGTAAACTGCATTAATGAATTGGACTCTTGTTTTCATCCTGGATATACTGGTCCCATGTTGTTCATCTGGCTCATTCAGGCTGTCACTCCTTTGCCTAATGTAGCTTAAAATATTGAATGGATTGAATAAAAGAACTGAGGGGAATTTTAAATAAATAGTTCATCCAACATCTCTCTCTTCGACGTCCTCCTGCACTGCACTTGGGCCGAGCCTCGTTGTGGTTCTGAACGAGGTGGTATTATTTAAGTGGTATTATTATTTAGCCTGGTGGGAGGACAGCTGCTTCTTCTTTCAGGAAAAATAAAAATTAAAAATCGGTTGTTGTGTGATATAAGTAAACACAAGCAAACATTATTAAGAACGTTGATTACCTGCTGTAAATCAGCTACTGATTATCACGGAGTAGAGTCCGACATCATCCTCGTCGACTCGGTTCTGGTCCACTCAGCGACTGGTGTGTGGAGCTGTAGACGAAGCGGTCCCATTTGGCGTCAAATCTGTTGACTCTTATCCAAAATCCAGCTTTAACTTGTTAAGTTGTTGTTAGCTGAGCTTTTAGCCCAGAGGAAAGGAGCGGGCCGAGGCAGCACACATGCGCATTAGTTGAAGGTACAAAATTCACAGCGCTAACTAATGACCCAGCATGGCAACTGCAGCGGATTCGGTGGAACGGGGGGGGGGGGGGGGGGAATTCCTCCGGATGCATGCAAAGACTAAATTTGTCTTTTCCTCTAATTAACATATGAAAAAACCTACGTCCCCCCCAGTGTCCGTGTAAATAGGGCCTAAGTGTAGAACCACTAGACTGAGGAACAGCTTCTACCCTGAGGCTGTTAGACTCATGAATCTCTAACCAGGATAATCACTGTGAAAAATCACATCATTTTGCTGCTGATCTGTTTCATGTTGCTGTGTTCATGCGTACTCATCTGCTCACACAGATTCATGTTCGTGCTGCTATTCGACGTAATATTTTTATGCTATTAGTGCTTAGTGTATTATTTAGTTGATGTTTTTCTTAGTTCAGGTATTTGATCTTATTATGGTTTTTCTTTTACATTTTATTGTTGGATGTAACTGGGACCCTGTGTACATAATCTTGTTCCACCACATGTACCACATGAGATGCGAATGACAAATACATTTCTCTGACTAAGCTTAAGACAGCATGACAAGCTGACCCTAATTATAGGATTTATCAAAAAGGAAAGTCTTAAGCCCAGTCTTAAAATTGGACAATGCGTCAGTCTTACGGACAGAAACTGGAAGTTGGTTCCACAAGAGAAGAGCCTGATAACTGAAAGACCTTCCTCCCATTCTGCTTTGTAAATTTTGCATTTCCTTTGGAAATGCAAAATTTACTTTCAATCAGAGAACATAACTTTGGACCACTGAGCAGCAGTCCCAGGTGAGACACTTATGATCCTGTCTCTTGTTCAATAGTGGCTTGACACAAGGAATGTGACAGCTGAACCCCTTGTCTTGCATACGTCTGTGTGTGGTGGTTCTTGAAGCACTGACTCCAGCTGCAGTCCACTCTTTGTGAATCCCCAACGCATTTTGTAATGGGTTATGTTTCACATTCCTCTCCAGGGTGCCATTATCCCAGTTGCTTGTACACTTTTTTTTTCTACCACATCTTTTCCTTCCCTTGGCCTCTCTATTAATGAGCTTGGACACAGAGCTCTGTGAACAGCCAGCCTCTTTAGCAATGACCTTTTGTGTCTTGCCCTCCTTGTACAAGGTGTCAGTGGTCATCTTTTGGACAACTGTCAAGTCAGCAGTCTTCCCCATGATTGTGTAGCATCCAGAACTACAGGTCCTTCTAAAAAAATCAGCATATTGTGATAAAGGTCATTAATTTCCATAATGTAATGATAAAAATTAAACTTTCATATATTTCAGATTCATTGCACACCAACTGAAATATTTC